AGAGAAATATCAATACTTTTAATATATTAAACAAAAACTCAAAATTAAGAAACATAGCACTAAAAATATGTATTTTACTAATATATCAAATTATTATTTAAATTTGTGGGCCAAAAATTTGGTTAATATTGAGGGGACCTAAAACAATTGCCTTTTATTTCCTCATAGGTACGGCCATGCCATCAACATACAATGAACTTGTTTCCTCGGCTTTATCATGTCTCGAGTTTGAAATCCAAAATTTATTACCGCAAATGCACCGGTTCAATCACTTGTAGCACAAATAGGATTGAAACCACAAAGAAATGCTTAATTAACAACTAACAAAATATGCAAGATACTCAATAAGCAAAGTTTCTTGTATGTGATTGAGCCACCAAGGCTAACATAAAAATTTCGTATACAGAATTTTCGTAAATAATGAGAAAATAACTAATAGATCATGAAAAAAAATGAAAATTGTAATCAAATTATTATAATGATAAAAACATGGTTGTGTGCTTTTTGACCGAAATTCACAATCGTGCAAGTGCGATCACCATCCACTATATAACCCTTTGATCAATATCATATAAAAAAATCATAGGAAATATGGGAATTTTCAAAAATAGCCAATACAAAGATACTATATAAGTTTTTTTTTTTTTTGATAAAAGAGAGATATATTTTAACCAAAGAATATATTGATAAGTTTGGAGGAAACCGTAGTAGTAGAATAGTTTCTCTCAATTTATTCATTAGCCAATAGGCTCTTATTTATATAAAGATATTACTTGCATAGCAAGTTCTTTACATTTATGATAATAGTAAATCTACCTATTTAACAATAAAGAGATATACACAAATGTTAACTTTCCTAATAATAATAAGGAAATATATTCAACTCGATCTCGTAATCCCGAGATCTCTCATCCACCGTCGATCTTCCGATCTACGCTTCTCTTTCTCCCAATACCCCCCGACAAGCTCATACGTGGTAACACGTGTGAGATTGGACAAATTTTCAAAATAACGGCTTTATACCCGGCCGTCCGGTCATCATCGACGTTTATACCCGGTCGTGGGGTCAAAGCGGCTATAATACCCAGCCGTCGGGTCATCGACTTCTATACCCGGTCGTGGAGTCATCAACGGTGGAAATACATCTTTTGTAGTTGTGTATCTCCATCGATTTAAAATCACAAGTCTTGGTCGCTCTTCGAACTTCTTGTACATGAAGAAACTTCTGTAATTCGAATTCGCCTCCAATAGATCAGCATCGTATCCATCGGAGTTATCTTCGTGGCTTCCATCAAAATAAATCGTTTGTTCATGTCATCTTTTGAAGTGTGTGACATCAACAACGTCTTCTTCTTCATGATTCTTCTTCTCCAAGGCACTAGCAACTTGCTAGTTATAAAGAAATAAATCGTGGCCAAAAAAAATCTGACCGAATCGCCAACGTAATCCACCAACACTATGATCACGTCTCTCTCTTCTCTTCTCTTCTTCTTCTTTTCTTTTTCTTTTTCTTTTTTTTTTTTTTTTAGAAACGAAAATAAAAATGAAGAGAACATAAATAAAAGAAAATCAATGGAATATGTTTGATTTTCCAAAACAAAGCAACGAAGATCAAACCATTTTTTTTTTTTTTTTTTAATAAAACGCGGAAGCTAACGTAACAGAACCATAATCCACATGAATAGGATCAAAGCTCTGATACCATGATAAGTTTGGAGGAAACTTTAGTAGTAAAATAGTTTCTCTCAATTTTATTCATTAGCCAATAGGCTTATTTATACAAATATCATAACTTGATTAGGAAGTTCTTTACATATATGATAATAGTAAATCTACCTATTTAACAATAAGGAGATATACACAAATGTTAACTTTCCTAATAATAATAAGGAAATATATTCAACTCGATCTTGTAATCCCGAGATCTCTCATCCACCGTTGATCTTCCGATCTACGCTTCTCTTTCTCCCAATATATATTGGATTTGATTAATGACACAAATCGATATAGTTATATATTAAAAATCTAAGAGATGACGGTAAGATAAGAGGATGAAAGATCAATGGTGGTATTGTATGACTAGTAGTAATAACCATACTTTTTACCCCATCGGCTTACCAACTATCGAAGGATATTTATTTATAATGTGACCACAATCAGTTTCTTAAAGCAAGTTGAACCAACTTAATTCGTCCATTTTGCATAGTCTAAAATATTTTAATCTGCGTAAGCCTTCGCTCTCTTTATTCGACACCACTCACCTCTTAAAGTTTTGTATTTGGTAAAGTTAATTTATCCTTATGAGTTATTGAAACCACACTTCTACAAGACTACAGATCATTCGATCTAACTTTCAATTTTTAATAAATTCGGATGAAGATCACCTCTTTTCATCATTTAATATATATTATAACTTTATTCTATCAATCTTCCATTTTCATAAGAAAAAACTGTTTTTTCTAATCCAAAAGTTTCTAATTTGTAAGTTTATATATATAAACTTACAAATTAGTGAGCAGTCTATCCAATTCATAATCTAGTATATGAATTGACTGAACGTAAATCTTATAAATATCTCATTAGATCTCTCATAGAGAGGATTCAAACTTTTTTGGAGAGACATTTATTCTTGAATTAACACTAAACCCTCGTAAGAACATAAATACTTAAACTTTAAAAACAAGTACTATATATACAAGAAAAATGAATTCTTCTCGAGTGTTCGTGATGGCTTTTACCATAACTACTCACCCGAAAAAAATAGTGTGTAATTTTTACAGATGTCACTTGATTCTAAAGTACGTCCTTAATAAGTTTCACGATAAATTAATTGGAAAATGAAAATTGAAATATTAATAGTAAAAACTAACAAAAAAGTACAGTAAAATTTTGGTTAAATCTGAGTTTAGTCGTTACTTTATTGAATGTGTTTGAAAAATATGTTCAATTTTCATTGAAAAATATGTTCAATTTTGAGGGAAAAATAGTTAGGGTTCAAAAAGATTTTAAAGGGAAAAAATAGAAAACTTAACTTGAAAAATTTCATCTTAGTGGGAACTAAAAAAATAAGTTGTGAGTTTTCTTTGCCAATTTACCCTAAAAACTTTTAGTAGCATCATTTACGAGAAAAATGATGCAAAGCTATTATAATTAGCATCATATACCATAAACGATACCAAATTTTCTATTGTTAACGTCATTTATTTATAATTGATGCAAATTTTAATATTTTAACTTCCTTTTAGTAAAGTGATGCTACAAATAACGCTTTTATTTAATTTTAGTGCTAGTTTTGCAAATGATGTTAAATAACTGATGCAACATAGTTAATTTCTAGTAGTGACATTTGATAATTTGACAAAAAATTTACAACACATCTTATAGGAATTGGAAGGATAGTTTCGATATCAGAGGATATTATTGTTGTTCGATCAAAAAAAATATTAACATTAATAGTCCTGATATCTGAGATTTTGGTTAGATATCAGAATTTTTTGTTAGATTTAACCAAAATTTTACTGTACTTTTTTGTTAGTTTTTACTATTAATATTTCAATTTTCATTTTCCAATTAATTTATCGTGAAACTTATTAAGGACGTACTTTAGAATCAAGTGGGATCTGTAAAAATTACACACTATTTTTTTCGGGTGAGTAGTTATGCAGTAACTAAGTGAAATATCGTTTTCATAGGGATTGACCAATTATTAGAGCAGGTCTACTTTAAGAAAAGTTAGAGGATTAAGTCAAACTGAGCACATTGAGTTATTTTAATTAATATTTCAAACTTTTGATAAAGATTAACCTATAACTAAAATATTTAATTTACATAAGAATTCTCTTTATATTCTCCACTATACTCTCCTCTTAAAGTTTGGAATTTGGTGAAGTTTCTTTGTCCTTATGATTTATGAATTATTGATACCACACTTCTATTCTAAAGATGGTTCTTAGTAAATTCGGCTGACGATCAACACTATAACGTTTAACGTTTAGTAGAAACTTACTTTAGACAAGACGATGACAAAAATAAAATATGTTTGAAGAAAAAAAATAGATGATGCTCAAAATGGTGGAGAAAAAATAGATCTCCGAAGTGAGTGGCATGGAGTATTCATGCACAAATCGGACAAAATGGGTTTTGTCCACATTGGAATTTGGTTTGAAATATCATTAGTATATAAGGTGGAGATTGAATGAGCTCATCAAGTCATCAATACTAGACACGACTGTTGGAGATATAATCCAAGTCCCACATCGGAAGTTTGATGGGACAATCAATAATATATAAAGGGTTAGGGCCAATCAACTAATTGCCAATTGGTTTTTAGTTGGAAGCCCAGAATTAGCTCAAATTTAACATGGTAGCAGAGCCCAAGGTTCGAATTCTGGTGGATCTAGAAAAGTGGATACGGACATACCTCAAACCCGAGTAATGGGGGCCCGAGAAAGGGGTTTATTATCGGTCCGAGTGAGGGATCGAGGAGGTGTGTTAAGATCCATGTGGTCCTTGGATTGAAGAGGAGATTGTTGGAGATACAATCCAAGTCCCACATCGGAAGTTTAATGGGACAATCAATAATAAGTATTTTTTTAGTTATCCTGATCACAGATAATGATAACAATATATCCACACTTAATTAAGGTTCCCATTTTAAAAACCAATAATCACTACAAGAAATATGTACATTATTAGCAAGAGAGAAGAGCTATTATATGTCATCAATAGCGTTTTCATAAACACTGTCTTATGCCCCTGTTATGGTAGACCCCCACATACGATAGCGTTTTTAGCACCCTACGGTAGACCCCCACTTACGATAGCATTTTCGTATAATAGCATTAGTGGAATGCTATAATATACTTTGTTATTACACACGTTTAGTGCTGTTTTATATATTGTCGTAACATATTTTCGTTATATAAATTATTTTATTTTATAAAATAAATTTTATATTGGAATCCAATTTTATAAAATTTACTTAATTGGACATATATATAACTTTTCTATTTTATAAATCATCAACAAATAATATTACATTAACTAATTAGTCAAACAAGTCTTACATAACACCAAGTCTTATACTAACATCATAAGGAAAGAGACAAACTTCAATCTCTTCAATTTCTTCCCCTCTATCTATTCACCTCCTCATCAATTGTTCCTATTAGAACTCCCGTCCATAGGCTACATGAAACAAAAGATTTTTGAGTGACGACACTTCATGAAGAACTATTGAGTCACGTCATGATTAAGATAACACAACTGAAACAAGAACCATAAGCTAGTAAAATAAAGAGGTTTCAAGTAAATGACAAAAGAACAAGAAGACAAAAGACCATCTTAGAACTCTTATTCACTAAGATGAAAAAAGAAATCGACACATGGGAATACATCTACCAAACATACACATATGTATACTACGTACTTGGTTAGCATGGACATAATCATGATAGCCATAGAATTAAGCTAATAGGGAGTTTAAAACTTGAAAAAACGTCTTACCACTTAAGCTCCTGCAGCCACATGCAAGCTCCTTCTCCTAAACACCTTCCTTCTCACTTGTATGTACTAAACAAACATAAATGAGCAAAACCAAGACCTTTAGGAAAATTAAACTCAAACTTAGAAAGTAGTATATAAATGACAGACAATGAGTTTATTTCCAAGCTCTCCATTATCATCTAAGAGCTTTAACTCTTCGGAAGCATCAACAAACGTTTTTAGAGATACTTAGAAGTCATAGAAAGAACCTTTCATGGCCTGAGATTGATAATTCAACAAAAATTATGGTTGGTCTAGTTTTCCAACTCTGATCGATGCTCCTGCAAAGTAAATATTATGGTTGGTCAAGAAAAGAAATATATTTTTGCACTCTGTACCTAGTTAGGAGTTTAATTAAGTAAAAAAAAAAAAACTGCACACTAGCTAGTTAGAGCATAAACTTGTCAAAGGATATAGTTACATTCAAATTAGCTTCTCCTGAGACTGAAAAATAACAAGTCCCTGTTGAATTCGGCAACAATGAAGCCAAAACTTGCTCTCTTATCGAACTCCTTCACATCCAGAAAAGTGTTAATCGAAATATCAAGTTTGCATCAAAATCAAGCAAAGCACAGGAAAAAAAAAACTCAACATTTAAAATAGAAACACACAATAATTGAATGTTCGAAAACTTACTACAAATTAGAAAAAAAAAAAACAAATCATCTAGGTCATACCATCTTTTTCTTGGCAGCGACCTTCACTCCTTTCTTCGTTGGCCTTTAAAATATGTTTCAAGACCCTCAAATTTTCTATCATTAGCATCGCCTTAGCTTCCTTCTCATAAACGAATAAGTTTAATTCATAAAACAACTATAATCAGAAAAAGAATTCTCATTGAGGCATTATGTCGAACAACATAAGTTCATTAAAAAAAATTGTATTCATGAGTGTAATGAAGTTAATATCAAATGACTTGTGATGAGAGCAGAGAAAAAAATCTGCAGGTTTATCTTCGTTCATCCACATGGTGAAACTAAGAGACGAACTATAAGCAGTTAACAGGGAATTAACCTTGAGAAAGAGGACTGGATTGAGCTACTTGAAATTGATTCTCGGGAGAACTAGTCGAATCTCCAGGCTTCACAGACCCAACCTGCAAAACAAAAAGGAGAGAACATTAGAACTTGAGATTTATAACGTATTACTGCAATTTTTGGACATTAGAACATCTCCTTCCCCCCCAACACTTCCTTACGTTTAGAGATGAAGCCAAAACGATGTGAAGATCTGAGAAGAAAATTGAACGCACGAACGAGGGAGACAACAAACGGCGTTTTAGCTAACGATCTGATGAAAACTGAAGATCTGACCCATAGTTCCCCTTTCAAAATCCAACCACAGCGCCGTCGCAGTAATTTCATCAAACACATGGTCTACGTACAACCGCCAAAGTTTTTAGACACAAAAAAATGACAGAGAGGGAGGACGAGAGAGGGATAGAGCAAGGGAAGGGACAATTGCTCTGGCTAGGACGAGATTCAGTTCGTGGGTATGAGATTTTTAGATCTCAGAGGTTTTTTTAAGAAAAAGAGAAATTATTTTAGATCTAAGAAGTTTTTCGATAAAAAGCTATTATTTTGCCGCTTAAGTGAATAATTTGGTTAAGTGTTGGCGGACTAGGTGATTTTAGATTCCCGCTTAGGGAATTTTTATCTTAGCGTTTAATAAATGCTATTATCTAGTAACCAAGATTACAAACTCATTTTTAATAGCAGTAAACGAAAATGAGCTATCCTCTGGTGCTATCAATGCCCATATTTCTTGTAGTGTTTTGTTAATTTGTTTATTGCTTTAAGCACAACTTCGTTTGCTATGTGACATCGATCAATCTTAGGATGAACTATCCAAATAACAAATTACAATCTTAAAAGCTGTCCTCCTATAAGTGTTTTTCTAGTATTTAAAATTGTTTAGATATTAGGCTTAAGTGATAATTACTCGAAATATTATCATCTTATACCAAAACACAAATAAATAAACATAATATTAAAATCAAAGCCACTAACTTCTTTAGACTTATGGTGGCCAACGATGCAACAACAGGAAAGTGGTCAACTTTCTAACTTTTCTTTCTCCCCCATTTTCATGAAAAAATTAATTAAAAATCTCAAAAAAAGCATAATACGACATTAATTTGCATTAATCGTCAAGTTGCAATTATGTGTCTAATCATTTTTTACAATGCCACACCAAAAATATATTATAATGATATACTGCCTCCGTTTCATAAAGAGTGTCGTTTTAAAATTTTATTTTTGTTTCACAAAGAGTATCGTTTTAGGTTTTCAATGCAAAATTTAATGATTTTTTATGTTTTATGACTATTAGTATTCTGCAGATTGTTTTACTATTGGGCAGATTATGTTTAGGTATATAGTTAATGATGTTTTTGTTTAGAAAAAATAAAAAATTTAATGTTTTCTTAATCTGTGTACAAAACTCTAAAATGACACTCTTTGTGAAACAGAGGGAGGGAGTATGAATGAATAAACTCTTTAACTTGGCCTCTTGTTTCTTCTCATTTATTATACCTAAAGAGTCGAAACCAATTGAGAACTCAGTTTTTCCACGAGGAAAAAAAAATTCCTAGGAGAGCTAATAAAGTTATGGGTGTGTCACCATTATTGATGAAGAACCTTGGTTTCATCTTCATGATTGTTTCAGCTTCTGCTCTTTCTGTCTCTTTTGCAGGTTTAATTTCTCTCCCTCTCTCACTCACTCTCATCTGTTTTGTTGCAGCTTTTCTCTATACTTCATGTGCGCAAAGAATTTATTTAGTCTTGTTAGAAAGAAAGGATCATAATTGTATAATCACTTAAGATTAATTCCAAAGTGCATATTAATGCATGACGTTTATAAGCATGAACGTATTATGACACGATCCCGAGGTTTTTTGGTATATGTTCAAGAGATTTTTTTTTATTTTTTTTCTGTTTTAGTTGTAAGATATTTGTTTATGTTCCCATCAAAAGTATTTTTACCAAAAGTATTTTGCATCAATATTTTTTAAATTTCATTTATTTTAATATCACCGTAAAATAAAATGGGTGTTTTCATCAAATATCCCTTGAAAATTGTAAAGACTATAGAAACGATGAATTTTCATTTAGAATTTACTATGTTCAAAAGAAAGAAATATTAGAATTTTAAAATTGAAATACATAGTATTTGAACTAAGAAAACATTTTAACGCTTTTATCTTGAGCATGGGGTGTACTTTACTAGTTTGTGTTACTATCGTCGTTATGATTTAAATATTGTAGTTTGTCGTTGTGTAAACCATAATATTAAAAATTATTTGATGAACACTAACAAAATAACGAAACTAATCAACTATGATGATCATGATTTAGGTATATATTTAAAAATTAAAATATTTTTTTACAGATGTAACAAAAAAAAACTTATTTTGTTATGCAGGCCGACCATCGGTTCTAGTCCATACACATATAGATCTTCGTGATGAGGTTAGTCTAACTAACATATATAGGACAATGTGTTTCATAGATATTTGTGCTTATATTTTCTTCCTTGTTTCCAAGAAACAATTTTTGGAACTAAATTTGGTGAAATGTGAGACAGATGGTGGAAAGAAGCATGCATGATCATGAGAGGCTTTTAAGAATGAACACAAAGGATTATGGGCACAACAGTCCGTCGCCAAGACTTGAGAGGCCTCCTTTCAAGCTTATTCCCAATTGATGACATCAGAATTGGTTCTAATCCACATTAATTAATATAAATATATACATATATAGGTTTAATTAGTTTCAGTGACTATATAGTTTCATCGAAATTGAGAGATGTAATATAAATATATGTAATAACTAAATAAAAGGTAAGCAGCTAGACCTAGCTATGCTACTACTATATACTATATATGCTCTGCGCTTATTTATCCATGGCATCACTATAATGTGTCTTTGTCTTGGGGTTTCAAATATAGGTGCTTGTGTAATACTATTAATTTGAACACATATATAACTTATGAAAATTTGTTTATTCAATGAAAAAGGAGAAACATTTAGTAATTGTAGTACACTACTTTTGTTCCATTGAGTGATATAAATATTAATTAGAAATTTACTTTCATTTAGAATTGAAATTTAAAGTCAGTTCCTACCCAATAAAAATAGGGCAATGGTGTTAGCTTTTTTTTTTCTATCCAAAAATTGTGAATGTTTCATATTATGCCATATTGCATTTTGAATCTTCATTTGTAGTCCATTCAGTCCTTAAAAAGGTTATTTTCAAGGTATGAATGATTTGAAAGAATTATAAAGAAACGAAATGAAAATAGAGACAAACTTATAAAAAATAGAGAGAGTACATCAATTAAGAAGGCGTCCCCATTCGCTTGAGTGAGCATAATCGAGAGATATAATGTGGCTACGCACGACTTTGTCAATTGAATGAACCATGAATGATGTAGGGTGGTTGCCGTTTTAATGGCATCTTCCTTTCCTCTCCGTCCAAAAATGGTTTTATTTGAAGTAGAACAAAGTCGATATTATTCATTGCAGTGGATATAAGCTAGTTTAATGTGTCAGTCGAGTCCTCAAACAAATTTATCCGTTTGTTTATAGATATGTTTATATAAAAAATTGTGTACCAATTTTATAATATTATTCCTTTTATTCAAGCCAAAAAAATTGAGAAATGTAATTTTTTGGTTAAGGACATTAAGGTAAGTCGTAGAGAAAATGAAGTCGTATATGGAATCGTTAAGCATTCTTAGAATTTTGGAAAAGATAGACATTAGAATTGAACGTGAAATAATCTAGTTATATGATTATCTATCCTTGATCACATTGATGAAAAATGTGTGGCCAAAGATGTTAACGAATTGTGAACAAAACATGGCAATATAACACTAGTGTGTTTGACTTTTAAAGATATTTCGATGTGCAAATTAAAAAAAATAAAAAGTTTAGAACGAGCTTAAAAGAAGAGACAATTTACATGCGATGATATGCCAAAATATATATATATCATGAATTTCTTATGGTTATGGGTTGATTTGGTACATCATTTTGATAGTGGGTGATGGGATAAGAAGATTCAAACATGAGACCCTTCATTCATAAAGAAGGCTCTTGTCATCTTAAGATAAAAAATTGTTCCCAAAACAATGAGATATTTAACAAACTTTATACCGTTGATTATGTATTGGATGGATAGAAAATCAGCACCAATTATATTAGCTGCTCTGAAGAGGGCGGTGGTTTGTCTGGTTAGAGAATATGTCCAGCAGTTGTGCCCAATCTGGTTTTGTATCCGGGATTGACAAAATGATCCAAATCATGAAAATTTAAATTCAGTTCATACCCGATAAAAATAGGGGGAAGGTGTTAACTTTTTTTTTCTATCCAAAAATTGTGAATGTTTCATATCATACCATATCACATTAATTTTGATTTTTTTTGTTTGTAGTCCATTCAATCCTGAAAAAATGTTATTTTAAGCTATGAATGATTTGAATAAATTATAAAAAAAAACAAAAGTGACCAAATAGACAACTTTATAAAAATTAGATGTTCGAGAGAGTCCACCAATTAAGAGGGCATCCCCGTTCGCTTGAGTAAGCAAAACTGAAGTGTCAGTCAAGTCCTCAAACCAATTAATAAATATTTGTTAATAGATATATATATATATATATATATATATCTATATATATATTTTGTTATGAATAGTCTATAACAATGTTAATTTGTACCATTTTTGTATTATTATTCTACCTTATATTCAAACCAAAACATTAAGAAATGTTTGTTTTTGCTAAGAAGCTTAAGGTAAGTCAAAGACAAAATGAAGTTGTAAGAAAGATGTATATGAATTCTTTAAAACATTCTTAGAAATTTGGATAAAAGCAGACATTAGAAGTGAGTGTGAAATAATCTAGTTAAATGACTATATATATTATTGATCACATTACTGAGAAATGTGTGGCCAACTATATTAACGAATTGTGAACAAAATATAGCAATATAACACTAGTATGTTTGACTTCTAAAGATATTTCGATGCACAAATTTGTATGAGATGATTTGTGCTAAATTCTTAGAATCTAAACTATTATTTACTCTCAATTTTGTTCATTTTAAAAACTAAACCCTCTCAATATTGAGCCTTGGGCTCCTCTTAGCAGCATTGGAGGTTCATTATGCAAATCTAAAATTTGAAGATGTCAAATGGAATTGGGAGTAAATTCAAAGGTTTTTATTGCAAAAGTATTTTTTTTTTTTTCCTCATAAAAGTGTAATTGGTCAGAGTCTCCCAGCTTCGAAGCACGAGCGGAGCGAGGCAAACCAAAAATCCAGTTCGCTTCGTTGCCATATTCAATTCTTGTTCATCTTCCTCAAATTCAGCTCGAAAGTTCCAACCTTTAATTCTTTAATGGAGATTCTCCATCCCGATCAAGCAACCTCAAACGGTATACGAATCTTCTCTGTCAAAAATTAGGTTTTTTCGTCTGATTTTACTCTCACTACATTCTATGCATGTCGTTCCCAAACCTGATTTCGAATTCAATTGGTTGAATTTCTTCTGTTGTTCATTTAGAGAGTAATGTGACTATGTGGCTTTGTTCAGGGTTCTACAAGAATGTGCATAAAAGAAAGCAAAATCAAGTTGATGATGGACTTTGTTCCGATTCTGAAGCAAAGCGGTTAAAGAGTTCATCCAAAGTGATTGATTACTCTAACCCATTTGCAATTAGTAACATGCTTGAAGCATTAGATGGTGGTAAATTTGGGAGTGTTACTAAAGAGTTGCAAGAGATAGCTGATATGAGGATGGATTTGATTAAGCGTTGTATTTGGTTATATCCATCGTTAGCGTATACCGAGTTTGAAGATGAGAAGACGATGTTGAGTTTGGATAATCAACAGGTTGTGGAAGGTGGTGTTATTAATTTGGATGATGATGATGATGATGATGATGATGTTTCGAATAAAGCTATTTGTGTTGTTCCTTCGTCTGAGATTGTGGTTCTTGATTCTGATGATGAAGACAATGAGAGGCAGAGGTCTACGTATCAGTTTCAGTCTACTCTTGTACAGCTTCAGAAGAATCAAGGAGATGTGACTCCAGTAACACCGCAATTCACTTTTGAGGAGGTCGATTTAGGGAGGAGTAAGGAGATGATGCCTTCTGTAATTAAGGCCATTGTGGTAAGTTATGTTTTTCTCTTAAGCTATCGAGTACTGCGTTTGAACTTAATTAAAGGTTACAAATTAATGTCATCTGTGTTTACAAACTAGCAATACAAGAGGTTTAAGTTTTGTTTATATGTAATTTTCATAGGAGGGACAAACAAGTAGAGACAAAGTCATTGCCATAGAAAATGGTGTGGCTAACGAAAAGGGTGTCTACGTGGGGGTTGAGGATGATGACATTGATAATGAGTCTGAAGCAGCAGATGAAGATCTCGGTAATATCTGGAATGAAATGGCCATGTCTATAGAGTGTTCCAAGGTATATATGTCTGAACAGTTACTTCAGATGGAACTGAAGTTTCAGTCGATACGACAAAACAATCTTGTGTTATGTTACCTCTTGCCGTCATATACATTTGTGAAGAAACTCATCACAAGTATTTTAATTATTTGTGTTTCTTCCCTTTCTTTTTGGTTGATAGAGTTTCTGTTTGACAAATCGGTTGGAATGGACTCTACGTATGCATTGCTCAGTCAAGCTTCCTTGTTCCTTAGTGTAGTAATGTTGCATCTCTTAGGTTTCTTGCATTTGAGATAGTTAGTAGAAAGCTCATTTTAAAAGCTTCGCTCCTTAAATTTGATCTTTTTCGCCACTTTTCCTGCTTTGTTCATTTCTGATTACAATAAAATGTACAGGATATAGCATGGGAGACTTCGCATAAGCAAAAGGCAGATGTAGTGGAAGACTGTGAGCACTCATTTATTCTAAAGGATGATATGGGTTATGTTTGCCGTGTCTGCGGAGTTATTGAGAAAAGTATACTAGAGATAATTGATGTGCAATTCACTAAAGTAAGTATCCTTTTTTTCTGATACTAAGCTAATTTGTCCTTTCAAGGAAAAGTATGTTTCTTGGTATTCGACAAATTTTGTTGTCTGAATACAATAGGGTAGGACTTCTCCATACATGTGGTCTATTTTCATTAGCTCCATTATGCCTAAAGTTTTTTTGTTATATAACTGTTACGGAAATTTTTATATCCATATGATCTTGAAATTGTTTCCCAAGTCAGATTCTGGTGGAGCTTCTAATTTTTCTTGTAATTTTCATTGTAGGCAAAACGAAACACAAGAACATATGCCTCTGAAACTAGAAATAAAAGGTTTGGCGAATCTGATGCTGAACTTAAGTTTTCTGAAGAAGGGCTTATGATAGGTGGACTTGCTGCTCATCCAACGCATGCTGACAAAATGAAGCCTCATCAAATTGAGGGATTCCAGTTCCTTTGCAGCAATTTAGTGGCAGACGATCCTGGTGGTTGTATCATGGCTCATGCTCCAGGTTCTGGAAAAACCTTCATGATCATCAGTTTTATGCAGAGCTTCCTTGCTAAGTATCCTCAGGCTAAGCCACTGGTTGTGCTTCCAAAGGGAATTTTGTCTACATGGAAAAAAGAGTTCCTTAGATGGCAAGTTGAGGACATACCACTGCTTGATTTCTACAGTGCTAGAGCAGAAAACCGAGCACAGCAGCTGGCTATCTTGAGAAAATGGATGGAGAAGAAGAGTATCTTATTTCTTGGGTACAAGCAGTTCTCAACTATTGTGTGTGATGATACAAGTACCGACTCACTTTCTTGCCAGGAGATACTGCTCAAAGTACCTTCGATCCTCATTTTGGATGAAGGACACACTCCAAGGAATGAGGACACAAATGTATTGCAGTCCCTTGCCCAAGTCCAAACACCAAGAAAAGTTGTCCTCTCAGGAACGCTTTATCAGAACCATGTAAAGGAGGTTTTCAACATTTTGAACCTCGTTCGACCCAAATTCCTCAAACTGGATACCTCCAAGTCTATCGTGAAGAGGATATTGAGTTATGCTCCTATATCTGATGTAAGGTCACATATGGGAAACAATTCAGATGTGTCTTCGGCCTTCAATGAAATTGTGGAGTACACACTGCAGAAGAGCGAGGATTTCACGATGAAAATTAATGTAATCCAAGATTTGCGGGAGATGACAAAGAAAGTGCTTCATTACTACAAAGGAGATTTCCTAGATGAGCTTCCTGGACTTGCTGATTTCACTGTGGTTCTTAACCTGTCTCCAAGGCAGTTGAACGAAGTGAAGAAGTTAAGACGTGAGAAGAGAAAATTTAAGGTTTCGGCTGTGGGAAGTGCAATTTACCTTCACCGCGAAGCTGAAAGTTTTCTCTGAGAAGGCTGA